GAAGTAGTCCTGATGTTGAGAACTAACCATTTCCCATAAAACTGAGGTGCTTTAAAGAAGCAAGAGATTCCTGCTTCCTTGTGTGATTCCCCCTTTTGCTTCCTTGTGTGATTCCCCCCTTTTTGTGTGTGCTCCTGCCATACGATGCTACTGATCACAAGGCCCTCGCCAGAAGCTAAGCAATTTGGTAGGCTGCCACATCATGGACTTTCAGCCTATATTTTTTCTTTATACTATAGCCTTAGGAATTCTGATAACAGAAAATAAATATATGACTTATAAAACAGCTTTTTATTTTTTTAAAAAAATAAAGCTAAGGTATTTAAAACATGAACCGTTAAGCATACTTACATATTGAAAATAACTTGTTATTCTGAAGCCAAACCATCATATGATACTTCCACCAGTTAAGTTCTAAGCATTCTATATCATTTAGCACAATACGATTCAAAACAGTGATTCTTGACCTTCCTAATGCTGCACTCCTTTAATACAATTCCTCATGCTGTGGTAACCCCCCAACCATAAAATTATTTCACTGCTACTTCATAACTGTTATTTTGCTATTGTGATGAATTATAATATAGATATCTGATATGTGGGATATCTGATATACACGTTCCAAAAGGGGTTACAACCCACAGAGGTCACCTGTGCTGACCTCTGCATTTAGTGAAAGCAGTGGTGGGAAACTGCCTGACCACACCCCAGACAAGGCAGCAGCACTAAACAATAGCAACCACTGTGCTCATCCATGTACAGCTGAGGTAAAGAGCAAGGACGGGGAAGGAAGGCAGCCACAGTTATGCTAACATGCAGCAGTAGTGGCATGAAACTGTCTGTGATCCTATCACTCAGGATGCTGAGATCAGTCTGAAGTATACTTTCTGGACAAACACTCAAGTGAGCCTGTAATGTCCACAGGAAAGGCTGACACTTGTTGCCAATGACAATAATTCAAGCTTTGAAGTAAACACTGGAGTTTTGGAAAAACTTCTATCATCACCACAAACTTGTCAGTTTATAAATAATGACTTGTGATAAAATCAATGACAATACTAATTTATGACATTTTTAATATTTTATGCTGAAACATATTAGTATCTAAAAGATCTATATAACTTCATCAACATTTTTCCCCAAGTGGTTCTACTGTGGTGTTATAACTTATGGGGAGAATGAGATAGCTCAAGGGATAGGGCACATTATTGCCCGCCTCAGCTGGTGATCTGAGGAAAGTCTTCAGAACCCACAGGGTATAGAAAACCAACTCCCCTGAGCTTTTCTCTGACACCCATACATGCACACACACTCAGCCCAACACACACACAAAATAAGTAAATGATTATAAAAACTTTTCTTGGCTGGCTAGTGGTAGTGGTGTCAGCAACAGAGCACAACTTTAATCCCAGCACTTGGGAAGCAGAGACAGGTAGATCTCTGAGTTGGAGACCAGCCTGGTCCCCAGAGTGAGCTCCAGAACAGCCAGAGCTACACAGAGAAACCCTGTTGGGGGTGGGAGGGTTCTTAATGTTAAAGTGTAACAGACCCATGAATTGTTAAACTATTAACACGTCAGGCAGAGTTTCACAGTCCACACTGTACTTCACTGTTAAGTGACGACATGTTCATTTTCAGCATAGTAGCAAAGACTTCTGAGTTATTTGAAAAGCCATTCTTCATCTTTTCATGCTGCTGAGACTGAACCAGGCATACATTAAACAAGATGTCTATCTACCATGGGGCTTTATTATCCAGATCTGGGTTGACTTTTATTCTGAAGCAGAGTCTGGCTAAATTGCCCAGTGTAGCTGCTTGTATTCTAATGCTTATTTGGGCCCTCCAAAATTGTTTGCACTAGAAGGTCTGGGAACCTAACTCTGATTGGTAAATAAAGATGCCAGCAGCCAATAGAAGGGGAGAAGAAAGAAAGGCTGGATTTAAGGTTCCTGGGCTTCCTTGAGGAAGCAAGAGGGGAGGGGAGTGTGCAGGACAGAGACAAGAGCCGCCATGGGGTAGAGAAACAAGGAGAACACTCTGGACTCTAGAACACAGAAATCAGTTGGTAGTAACTAGGTAACCTGGTGGGAGGTCGATTCTAACAACACGGAGAGTAGGCAGGTGCCCAGCTAGTGTACTGCCTAAGGCATGTTAAATACAGAGGCTGTGTGTGTGCCTTTCATTTGGGAACATAAGCCACTGAGGCAGGTAACAATCTCACACTGGGATTTATTAAAAATACTACTACTACAGCCCAGATCCACCTTGAACTTGGGCTTAGTAGCCCAGGCAGGCCTCACATTTATAGTCCTGTGGCCACAGCTCGGGAGCACATGGGATGACACACCATGCCCTGCCTGCTCTTCCCTTCTCCACATTACGCCTGCTAGATGCCCTCTATCTCCATCAGTCAATATTCTACATGAACATGCAACTATCCTCCTCTGGACAGAGTGAAAAAAAAAAAAACCAAACAAAATAATCCCACTCTTTACACAGGAATTATTTTGTAATTTAGAAAATATTTTCATAGAAATTTGTACATACAGCTAGGCACATGCCTATAATTCCAGCATATATCAAGCTAGCTTGAGTTGCACAGATACCATCTGCCCCCACAAAAAAAGAAAAGTTATACAATTAATACAATAGTTTGTTATTACTCTCTAGGGGAGTGGGGCTATTGGGGCATCCATACACACACACTGGGCAAACCCTTTACCACTAAGCTAACCCCCTAGGCCATTATTAGGGGGTTTTTTTGTTTTGTTTTGTTTTGTTTTGTTTTTAAAGACACATTCTCTCTAATATGTAGCTCTGGCTGTCCTGAAACTTGCTACAAAGGTCAGGCTGATCTGAAATCATAGGGTCCACTTGAGACTGCCTCATGAGTGCTGGTTTAAAGGAGTGAATGACCAGACCATACCTGGCCCCATTATTAGTATTTTTAATTAAAAAAGAAAATAAAGCTTAAAAGTTAAGTTTACTCCTTTATACCAAATTTAACAGTTGAAGATAAAATTATTAAAATAAATTTGAATATGGTTTTTAACATTTAGAGATCCAGCTCCTACAAATATTTAGTTGGTTTTATATTCATTTTTTCAATATTTAAGCATATCTTCAAAAAAGCAAGTTCTTAAATATTAGATTCAGTTTCTTAAAATACTCAATTCCAAGATCTTTAAGTATCTTGTTTTTCCTCTGCCAATGAATAAGGCAGATATTCAGTATTAAGCATTAAAACTGGTGCCATACCATGAACCTTATAAATATAGATATATAAAATATAATACATAAATAAGTCCAAACATTTAAAACACACACACACACACACACACACACACACACACACACACACACACACACACATTTGTTAACAGACTTTCATTAGGGAGAACAAACAAGGGAGACATGGGATAATACGCTGCCTAAAATGAAATGCTTGATCAACTCTGAATTCTCTGAAAACACCCTCTCCTAAATCCACCTAACAACTGAAAGCAAGCTGGGAATGGTGTTGCACACCTATGATGCCAGCCAGCATCCAGAGTCTGAGATGGGAGAATCTTGAGTTCAAGTCTAGCCTGGACTACACAGTGAATTTGAAACAGCCTGGCATTCATAATGAAAGGGTTTGTTTTGGTTTTGGTTTGTTTGGTTGTTTGCTTTATAAACAGGGTTTCACTGTATAAATTAGGCTGGCCTCAGAGTCACATGATCCACATGACTCTGGAAGCATGATAACACACCCAGGTAAGATTTTATTTTTTTTTTAAAAAAAAAAAGCAACAACAACTAAACACAAAATTCGTTTTGTCTTTTTGGTTTTGTTTTCTTTGGGGGGGATTGTTTTGTTTTGTTTTGTTTTGCTTATGTGTTTCATTTTCAACTTTTACCAAGCTCCAAGCCTACCCTTTGGTTTGGTATTAACTCTAACTTAAAGCGCCTTGCTGCGGGGCAGAACTGCTAGCTTATCTACACATGACTGAGCAACAGACCATTACAGAAGCAAAGGGAAAGACTTCCCCACAGCCCTGCCCATAGCAAATGTGGAAGACTCATGATGACCATCTAAGGATGGTTTCTCATGTCACCAAGGGCTGCTGCTTGTGTCTTTTTAGTCTCTGCTCTGGTGCTGACAACAGCCCCTGGCATGTAGGCAGGTGTGTGGTACTTAATCAACCTGGATGGTCACTACTCATAGTCCACAGACCCTCCCCCTGGAAGAAAAACAATCCTTTTCTAAAATCAACTTTACAGGCTGCAATTAAATGCTACACTTCACAATTAAAACCAAAGTCTAACTCTCACTTTGAAATATTCTATTACAATGTAAAAGTTGAAGTAGGGCAGTCCTAACAGAAAGAAATGTACACAGTGTGAATGTCTACGAAGACAGTCATCTACACCCCTAACACCTTGCCTAGCCCCCACTTCTGATTTCTGTCAAATACAGAATATAAACAAAAAGAAAATTTAAAATATTAAATTACTGATTAAACCAAAACCAAAAGGTATCTTTGACCATTTCAGACCTGCAGAATTTCTATAATTTTCAAACAGAATTCTTGTTTGTTTGTTTGTTTGTTTGTTTGTTGGCACCATGTCACCAGACAGCCCAGATTAGCCTTAAACTTGACATTGATTGAGTTTGTAAGTGGTGGGATCGAAAGTATGTGCCACTGCCCTCACCTCACAGACTGTCACAGGAGGATACTGGAGAAAACAGCTCCTTTCCCCCAGAGTCCTCTCATTTCTCCACACAGCAGGTGTCCCTTGGTTATTTCACAAAGTGAAGAAATACAACAACTACTGCATCAGTGAGGACACTTTAGACTTTAAGGGACCAAGTCATGCCCCAGCGACCCAGGCTAGCCTGAGGAACACAAAGCAAGACCCTGTCTCAAACATTTGCAGGGCTAGTGAGATGACTTAGTAGGTAAAGAACACACCACACAAGCCTCATGACCTGAGCTCAATCCTTGAAAATCATGTAACGGTAGAAGGCAAGAACCGACTCCACAAGACTGTCCTTAAACATACACACACACACACATCACTGGCCAGCTCCCCTCACACACACAGGATCATATACACATGTACAATAATAACAAGTCTAATATTTTCCCCCCACAGGGATTGAGTACAATTCCACACTACTAACATCTGAGTCCCTTACACAGAATATAGATTAGTATTAATAAAGGTAATATTTCATTATTCATGGTATCCAACAACCTAGAAAGACAAAATGTGAAAATCCAGACTTCAAAGCTTTCTTCTCTTTTCCAAGAATAGCAAATACTTATCTTTTTTTTATAGTTTCTTTTTTTTTTAATTTATTTATTTTATTTATGAGTATACTGTAGCTGTCTTCAGACACACCAGAAGAGGGCATTCAATCTCATTACGGATGGCTGTGAGCCACCATGTGGTTGCTGAGATTTGAACTCAGGACCTCTAGAAGAATAGTCAGTGCTCTTAACCGCTGAGCCATCTCTCCAGCCCCCAGCAAATACTTATCTAATTGTTAATTATGTATTGTCCCCAAAGATGCGCGGCAATGCTTTGATTTTCTTTTGCTTAGTATCTTTACAATATTAACTACAATCAAGAGTCACTCAAAATATATTCTGGACAGTAAGTATAAAATCACTAAGTAGCCACTCTTACTCCCGTAAGATATCCTGAAAAGACTAAAACAGTTGTTATGGGGGAAGGAGAAGGGCAGACTTACTTCTTGATACAATTGGTCATGAGAAGATGCACATCTTGTCTTTCATCTAATAACAGCATTGCTCCTAAATAGCCAATGCGTTTGTCTGTGAATTTTTGTGAGGCGATTAGCTTGAGGCACTCCAACTACAAAAAACAACAACAACAAAGAAAAAAGAGAAGGGGTGAACAGAGAGGGAAAAGCATTGGACATTTGTACATTTGTTTACATTCCTATGGCTCAGGGGTCACAAGCTAGCCCTTGCCGTTCTGCCTGCCGAGGACCTCAGTTTGGTTCCCAGCACCTACATCAGGTAGCTCACTACTCCAGCTCTAGGGTGTGCTCACTGCACTTACATACATGTGGGTGCACATACGAACAGTCATACATACATACATATATGTATATATAAAACAATAAATCATTCAGCAGTTGGAAACAAAGTACTGAAGAGTATCTTAGACATCAAAATGTACAATGAACTCAAATGTAAATGAACCACATTTGAGGTTTAAATGAAGAAATCAAATGCAGAAAAAAATAAAATAAAATCTCCAGAGTGAAACACAATAGCAGTATTAATCAAAACTGTTTTCTATATTTTTTCTTCACATAATTATTAGTAGAACACTTGTCTAGCCTGTGTCGTAGGTTCACAAATAATGATAACAACAACTATTATTAAATAACTCCTCCAGGCTTCAGAGCCGTGATAAATGAAACTCTGCCTTTCCTGAAAGTCACAACCACTCTGATACACTTTAAGGTTCCAACTCGACAAAGAAAAGGCCAGACATGCCCTCCCCTCAGAGCTAGTGGGTTTTTTTTTAATGACATACACAAATCCTTGAAGAATGACATACAGTCTCCAACAAGAATGTTTAAATTATACTCTCCTTTTGAATTGTACATTGGCGTAAGAGCCTCCAACAGAGACTTGTGTGCATAGAAAGCACTGGTCAGTCACGTGAGACGGCTGTCCAATATGAATTCATCTAATGGGCTCAAGTCCAATGGAAGGAAGTATAAAGCAGTTACACAAACAGAACTGTTTGAGGCTATTTTTAATTGTTTTTTTTTAAGTATCTGGATTTACAAAAAGAACCTCAAGTTAGGTGGCTGGCTACACTATCACAACACTAAATCCCAAGACCAGGGTTAAGGGAACCAATTCTCTATAAGGGGAGGTGGGCAGAAGAGGGAAGAGGTAAGCAACAGCCCTACCCTTCCTGCTGCATGTTCTATGGCAGTTTTTAAAACGATTTCTGAATAGAAGTTGATGTTGTTTTTAGAATGTGTGCAGAAAAGGCCTACTGGTCCAAGACACACGCAGAATTGACAATGTTCCCAAAGCTTCCCCATTCAAGCAGGCCTGCTAGGGCAGGGCAGGGCTATAATCCTAGCACTCCAGAGATGGGGGCAGTAGGGTCAATTCAAGGTCAACTTCAACTACACAGCAAGTTTGAGGCTATCCTGGGCAAACTTGTCACACTACCTCAAACCCTGTAACAAAATAATTTAAGCTTGTTTTTTCAAACATTCCATTGAATAATTTTGTAAAAATGTTGTCATGAAAAAAAAATACTCCCAGATCCTGATACCACAAAAATTTTCATCATCATTTCTCAATCTTGCTCCTGGTCAACTCCAAGTGCTATGCAAGTTAATGCTCTAAAACTATTCTATTTAGATTACTTAGTTAATGGGCCATACTCTTTAAGGTATCACTTGTCTTGTTAGAGTTTTGTTTGTATAGTCATAAAACTTATTTCTCTATTTATTGAGATAAAATTGTAAATCATACAGGTTAGTGTTATTTGGTTTTCTGTGAGCTGCCTTGTCACCACCCACCCTAGGGCTGAAGTTACTGGTATTCATGAGACCATATCCATCTTGTTCAGTGGATCCTGGTATTTGAACTCAGGTCCTCACAATTGCACAATATGCAAGCTTAGCCACTGAGCCATCTCTCTAGCACCTACATTTTTTTTTTTGAGACAGGTTTTAGGCTAGGCTAGCTGGCCAGTGAGCCCCATGGATTCTCCTGACTTGCTTCCCAGCCCTGAGATTACGAGAGCATACCATGACATCCACTGTCCTACTTGGTTCTAGAGAACAAGCTCAGGTCTTCATGATTGTTTCACAAGCACTTGACTGACTGAACTAGCTTCCCAACCCCAGCCCCACTTATATATTCATATCCTAGACAATCTTAAAAGGAAACTGACTTGGGAGGCAGAGGCAGGCGGATTTCTGAGTTCGAGGCCAGCCTGGTCTACAGTGAGTTGCAGGACAGCCAGGACTACCCAGAGAAACCCTGTCTCAAAACAAACAAACAAAAACAAAAAAAACAAAAAAACAAAAAACAAAAAAAGGAAACTGACTTCTATACCAAATTCAATAGCCAAAGTCACCAGGCGGTGGTGGTGCACACCTTCAATCCCAGCACTTGGGAGGCAGAGGAAGGCGGATTTCTGAGTTCGTGGCCAGCAGTGAGTTCCAGGACAGCCAGAGATACACAGAGAAACCCTGTCTCGAAAAACAAAGCAAAAACAAAAAACAAACAAAAAAAATAGCCAAAGTCAAAAGATAAATGCACCTTGGAGAATATTTGTAACTCATTTCACACTCATAAGGTCCTACGTAATGGCATTCTACCAACTAATTGTGAAAAAAGACAAAAAATATAATATTAAAATAAAAGGGATTAGTCACGACAACTTACAGAAAACAAAAAAACAGCTCAAACAAATTAATTTAACCTCATAAAACAAATGCAAATTAAATTCAATAAATTCATATGATATTCAATTGTGCACTTGAAAAGTGTGAGCTGTATGATTTATAAAAAAAATAAGCCTCAATGAAGGTGTTTAAAGGGAGAGTAATAAATCCCAATCATACAGAGATGCTATTTTTAATATATTTTAATTATTTTTTCCCAAGATTTATTTATGTATTCACCATTGCTGTCTTCAGACACACCAGAAGAGGGCATCAGACCCCACTGCAGATGGTTGTAAGCCACCATGTGGTTGCTGAGAATTGAACTCAGGACCTCTGGAAAAGCAGTCAGTGCTCTTAACCACTGTGCCATCTCTCCAGCCCTTAAGATTTATTTTTATGCCAAGCATGGTGGTCCTTTAATCCTAGCATTTGAAACAGAAGTGGACAGATCTCTTAGTTCCAGGACAGCCTGGTTTACAGATTGAGTTCCAAGATAGCCAGAGCTCCACAGTGAGACCCTGTCTCAGAAAATGACAAAAGAGACAGAGAGGAAGGAAGGAAGGAAGGAAGGAAGGAAGGAAGGAAGGAAGGAAGGAAGGAAGGAAGGAAGGAAGGAAGGAAGGAAGGACTTTTGCGTATGTGTATGCATGTCTGAATGCACATGTATGTATGTCCACATGCATATGGGGTTCCCTTGGAGGCTTGAAAAGGGTGTTGTGGCTAATTTTATGTCAACTTGACACAAAATAGTCATCAAAAAGGAAGGAGCCTCAATTGAGAAAAATGTTCCCATAAGATTGGACTGTAGGCAAACATGTAGGACATTTTCTTAATTAGTGACTGATGGGGGTTGGGGGAGTCCACTGTGGGTGGTGCCATCCCTGGGCTGGTGGTCCTGGGTTCTGTAAGAAAGCAGGCTGAGCGAGCCATGTGAAGCAAGCCGGTAAGCAGCACCTCTCCATGGCCTTTGGCCTTTGTAATAGCTTCTGCCTCTAACTCCCTGCCCTGCTTGAGTTCTGTCTTGATTTCCTTTGATGATGGACTATGATATGGAAGCATAAGCCAAATAAACCCGTTCCACACCAATGCACTTTAGTTGTAGTGTTTTATCACATCAATATTGACCCTACTTAAGGGGGGCATTGCTGTGACAGACCTGACCTAACCATCTTGTTTTGGGAAGGACTGCGAAAGGACTTTGGACCTCTGGGCTAGAGAAGTCATTGAGTGTGGAGAGCTCAGTGAGCTGTTCTGTGGAAGCTTGGAGGATAAAAATGTTGAGAGCAGTGCAGAAGCAGATGGAGGCCTGGCTTGTGAACTTTCAGAGGAAAGCTAAGACTCTATGGGGCTTTTTGTGTGAAGAATCTGTGTTTCTGGTCAGCGGGGGCTGAAGATTCAGCTATGATTACCAAGATACAGAACTACTAAAACGAAGCCTTTGCTTTATTGGGATGCTCAATGCTGGTCAGCTAGAGCTAAGAAATTAGCAGAGATTAAGAAGAGACCAGCAATAATGAGGTAAAATCTTCTGGAAAGTGTTCCCTGAGAGTCATCACAGAGAAGCTGTTCTAGACATGGCCAAGGCTGTACCTTGTGCTGATGTCTGAACCTGGTAGTGTATGAGTCACTCTGGTGGGTTTGGAGGCATGACAGAGACATGAAGAGCAGCTGACGCTTGAACTATGTGGCAGGGCTAGAGTCCCTGAAGAGAGCCCAGGAGAGGATATTGGTCAAAGTACAGTCAGCTGCAGCAAGGGACCCCAGCAATTTTGGGGATGCCATTACCATGGGGGCATCAGATCCCTGGAGTTGGAGTTACTCCAGCCACCTGACACAGATGTTGGTACTAAAGGCCAGTCCTCTGCAAGAGCAGCAAACACTGAAACATCTCTCCAGCAACGACTTTTTTGTTTTTGTTTTTTTGTTGTGTTTGTGTTTGTGTTTGTGTTTGTGTTTGTTTGTGGTGTGGTGTGGTTTGGTTTGGTTTGGTTTGGTTTGGTTTGGTTTGGTTTTTCGAGACAGGGTTTCTCTGTATAGCCCTGGCTGTCCTGGAACTCACTCTGTAGACCAGGCTGGCCTCGAACTCAGAAATCCGCCTGCCTCTGCCTCCCAAGTGCTGGGATTAAAGGCGTGCGCCACCACTGCTCGGCCCAGAAATGACTTTTAAATCTACATTTGCAAAGACCAACAATCATTTGATGGCATGGGAGTATAAACTGGCATGAGATGTAGAAAGTTCTGATCTATTTAAATTATAAATATATATACAACCTTTGACTCAGCAATTTTCATAAAACCTGCACTTATAATTAAATAGGAAAAATGGATGTTATTCAAATATTTCAAATAGGAAAATGGGTGTTATTACCAAGACATCAGTATAATGACTCATACATGAAGCAAGATACTGTGCAAAATA